TCCATTGTCCTCAGTCTCGCGAAGCGTCGTCTGGTCGGCAGTCGCTGCGGTTTTGGCCGCAGCTTTCTCCGCTTTCCATTGACGCCGGACCTCGCGGGCTGCCTTTGCCATTGCGTCTTTCCATGGCAAGGTGCCATCGGCCATGTAGTAGCAGCAGGCCAGGTGATAGGGATCGGCCGTCTCATGTGCGTGCCTGTCGCCGCCGATCACTTGATGGCCGCAAAGTTCACACACAGGTTCATCGCGTGGCAGGGCCAGCGCCACCGAAGCGACCATGGTGGCGAGCACTGGAACAGCTACGGGTTGATAGCTCACGCTTCAGCCAAACAATTGTCAGAGCATGTCACTCTCGTTGGAAAGGAAAAGCAAACCATTTTGCAATGCCGTTTGAACACACTTCACTGAAATTAAAATATCTGTTAGTATGAATATGATATGTGTTTGCACCGATGTTTCGAGAAACATGACTTCGCAGGTCGCAGTATTATTAAGTTCACAACGGGGAGCGACGTGGACCAGGAGAGCGCAATGGGATTTACCCACACCCCTCTCCCAGCGCCAGCCTAGGCCGGACCCGGGAGATGACCATGGTAATCGCTGAGACCGTAGAGGGAACCCAGTAAGACCACGCACCTCTCGACAATTACCACTACCCTCTCCCAACGCCAGCCTAGGCCGGACCCGGGAGGTGACCATGGGGAATGACCGCTGGCATCTCCCAGCGCCAGCCCGGGCCGGGACCGTGAGAGGACCGACGTTCAACGGTTGCAAGCCCGCGACGTACAACGGTTGTATGTTTATTATGTGCATTACTATTATGCACGTTTTAACGTGTGTTTGTGTTCACAAATACTGGCGCGCGGAATGATCTTTTCAAGCGTCACTGGCGTCGTTCGGTCTTACAGCTGACTGACTGAGCTCGCCGAAGTCTGTTCTAAAAAAGCTAGCCTGGCCTAGGAAGTCAGCTGCTGCACAGTCCTCTCCCAGAGCGCTGCAAGGACCCGCACTTTGTCGTCTGAGTCACCACCGCCGGTCGGTCCTGGAGGCGGCGGCTTTTTTGTCGCGAGGGTCCTCCTCTCTGTCCAAGACTGGTGACAAAGCCCTTTTGTTCTTCTTCTTCTTGTCTTTCGTCTTGCCACGGGCTTTGTGTTGGGTGTCAGCTTTGCCCTTGCTGCCGCCATACTCTTCGTTCCAGAGCCGATCCGACTCGCGCTGACCTTCTTTCTTGCACTTCCCCCCAGTCCCACGTTGGGTTTTGGGCATAAAGCGCCCAAGCCTGGTGCCAGGCACACCTTCGGCGTTGGTCCAAAGTGGACTGAGAACTGCTTTTGAGCGTGCGGTGGCACACTTCGCACCACGCCGCTGACTTCTCAGCGTCTGCAGCGCCATCATCAGAAGCCCTTCGGCGGGGAGGCGTCCTGGGCCGCCGGTGACTTGGTTCAGCGCTAGCCGCGCAGGAAGCGCGGTGGCCAGTGTTTCGGCGGGCCAGACCTCTGGAAGGTGACTTGTCCCTCCGGCCAGGACCACGACGACGACGAGAAGGAGATCGGGGTCGCCTGGAACCAGCCGGCTCCCTCTTGTCGGCATGGCTTGCCCTTCCACCCGCAGGAGGTTCTGGGCTAGGCCGCGCTGACTCAGGCTCAGACTCAGCAGGTTCTGGTGGACGAGTCTTTCCACCCCCCCCCACCACCTGATTCTGCTGGAGCAGGTGTGGGCGCTTCCGCCAGCCTCACACCCGCAGGCGCGTCTGAGGCTGGCTCGGGCTCTGACTCATAAGAGTACTCGTCGTCGTCGCTCTCGTCGACGACTTGACCAGGACGACCAGGCGGGTCGACCATCTCTGCCACCTGTCTCTGCAACCTTGAGCCGTGGCTACGGACATAAACAGAAATCAATCATGCACCCAAATTAAATCATGTAAAAAGGGCAAAAACAACCTCATGGCTACTTTGGTCTTGAAATCATGTTTTGCATGTTTTGCGCAAGCTGTGGACAGGTATGTTATTTTGACGTTTTGTCAAACAGTCGGTCGCTCATCTGTGCTGCGGCACTACCACATGGCACTCGCAGCCAATAATCTCTCTTCCGCTGCATTGTCGAGGTCATTCCCGACCCATCCAATGCAACGCCAAGGGCTGACATCAAGACGGCGACGCTCATCCCGTCCCCCCAAAGCTGCGTCGACAGCTCTCTGACGCAGATTGGCGTCATTCGCAGCCTGCACCATTTGCTTCAGCACTTGCTGAGGCACACTTTGCAAGCGACCCGCCTCTTCGACCAGGAGTCTGCGCCTCAGTCTGGTGACGTAGTAGCCTCCTTGTTGTAGCCTTGTCTTGGTCAGGCAAGGGCATAGATTTTTGAGCGGATGTTGGAACGAAGGCGATGATCCCACGTCCAGCACCCAGCCCCTTTCCCACATCTGGCTGCCCAGCTTCTCCTCGTACACTGGCAGGTCCAGCTTCTCACTTCCAACCACGGTTTTGTCAAGGAAGTGATGCAAATCTGAGCAATGAGGCCTTTCAGCAGGCAAAGTCAGCTCCCTGGTTCGGAGGCTTTCTCGGGCCACAGCCACGACATAGGTCCTAGGCCTGGATTGTGGGACCGCGAAGTGCTTTGGGCTCAACACTTTCCAAACAAAAGCGTAATTCAGTCTGGTAAGAATTTTTTGAATAAACTCCCAAACCCGCTTGTGTTTGGCCTGCTGCAGCTCGGAAACTTGCTCCAAGATTAGAGCTCTAGGTCTGGATGCCGCTATGTATTTAAGACCCTTCAAAGTCACAAAGCCGCGCTGGTCTCGCGCGCCCTGTCGTTTACCGAGCCGAGAGAACGAAGGGCACGGATACCCCGCAACATAGAGATCCGCGCGCGGCGCGGTCAGGTCATTTCGCGTCATGATATCACTGACTGATTCGCCATGTCCATCAGACCAGCCACAAGCAGTAGCGACGCTGGAGTGCAGAATCCGCTTGTCTTTTGCAACCTCCGAAATCATCACCACTTGAACCCGCTTCTGCAAGCCCAGCAATCTCAGGGCAATCAAATCCGATCCATACCCCGCACAGTCAGAGACTAGGCGGATCATCCCTTCATCAGATGGCGCCGGGTGCAAACCCAGACGCCTTCGCCAACTCGAGGACAAGTTGTTGATGTCATTCACCATCTCTCGCTGAGCATCATTTGGCACATCCTTGTCTGATCTCTTTCTTTTAATGCCCGGCATGATTTCGAGCTGAAATGGCTGCAGAATTCAAACAGTGACAGTTCCTAGCGATTAGCAAGAGATTGACCACGCCGCAACATTGCTTTTTTTTCCCGACAGCCGCTTGGCGCTATCAGGGTTTGGCCTGCACGCGCGCAGTCAGGGTCTTGTTGACGCACTTCCCCGTGAGCCAAGTCACAAACTCGTTGCCTGTCAGCAACAGGACGCCCCGAACCCCCCTGAACTCTTTCAGAGGAAGCTTTCAAATGCAGAGATGGTCTTCGGCCCCTTCCACGGAGACCCTCCACAGCGACAGCCTGCCAGCCATGTGAACAGGCATCCCGCAAAATCATGGTCATCCCAGGCTCTTGTGTCTTGAAATCGTTGCTCGTGAACACCGCGACCGGCAACATCAAGCCTGAATTATAGGTGACCTTTGCACCAGATCGCCCTTCCAAAACGCTCCCGGATAAGATGGTGCCTCCTCGGAGGGCAGCCATGAGGCGCACCTTCCGATGCACGGAGCCAAAATCCTTGACCACAAACAACTGCCCTTGCCGCAGGTCCTTAGAAAAAAGAAGACAAAAAGCAAAGTTGAATGAACGCCTTGCACGGCAAAAAGCTACATAGAAACATGAACGTACATCATTTTTGTAACTGAGCCACAGTGCAAAAGCTCACAGAGGCCCTGCATTCCTGCCTCAACATAGCTTGCCATGCCGGATGCAAACCTGGCTCAGTCTTGTCCAGCCACACATTTGTAGGCAGGTCCCTCAATGCCCACTGGCGCGTTTGCATCTCATTGGCCATTATTCTTGTCTCTTCGTACGTAGTCCACGCCTTCCGGCGCTTCGCATCGCTCGCATTGTTTCCACGCAACTGATCTCGGGCCACCTGACGGACTGAATCAGTAATCTCCTCGTCCAGAAGGTACCCATCCAGAAATGCTTCTGCCTTGCGCTTGCCTGCCTGGGTTCTTTGACGGTCCGTCTCCTTCTGCAAGCTTTGTGGCAATTCGACAGGAGCGCGCCTGGGTGGGGTCACCAACTCGGCGTCATCTCGGGTCGCCCGCGCAACTGCTGCACGCCTGCGGCGATGCCATTGAGCCTCGGTTTTCTTCTTGCCAGGCAGTGGCCTCAACTTCCGTTTGCTGCCCGCATCCAACCTCCTGGTCTTTGCAGAAGCACGCGCTTTCCCCGAGCGAAGCAAGCCCACGTAAAGCTTCTGCGCTTCGGTGATGAGGGTGTCTTCATCGGACTTCATTCCCTGCGCATCATCACCCATGACGATCGCCAAGTGCCGGTCGGTGTCCACAGACGCCGAAGCGAGCTCTACCGGAGATCTTTTGATCTTGGAAAAGAGCTGCTCCACGCCAGAAGTGCTTGCGGACCATGTGAAGTAGCCGCATAGGACCTGTTCACAATGACAAGCATGGTCGACCTTAATTAAAAAAATGACCCATGAGAAAACAATTCAGTGCTACAAAAAACCGGCCTCGGAGAGCTCCTTCGGCGCGTGTCGTTCTCGAACTTTTTGCCTCGACACTGTTCTTCGAATCGCCTCTGTCCAGGCCGCTCGGTTGACCATCGACCCTTGTTTGTGCAACGCCTCGGCAACAGGAAGGAGCCCAACATATTGCTTTTGCAAGGCTTCAGGGCAAACATTGAAAGCTTTGGCTAACTTCCTCAGACAGGCCCTCACAGTCGATGAATCCTGCTGGCGAGAGTCGCGACGGCTTTGCAAATTGAAAACTGAAAAGCAAGACAGCAAGTGCCAACTGGGAAATTCACTTTCCACACTGGCTTCTGCTGCAACAGCCCATTCCTGCATGACCTTCAAAGCATACACCTTGTCCTCCTGAGTGATGCGAATTTCGCGAGGGCATCGATCCAGCATGACAGTCAGGTCGCCTCTTTGCAGGGTGTCGATCATGTCCTTCGTGAAGGTAGGCAATTCAGTGACTCTTCCATCGACAAAAAGAGTGCGAATTGTCCTGCAAAATTTATCTGCTTCCTGATTCAGCTGGGCGATGTCAGACGATTCCTCATCTGCAAACCGCGTGAAATCCAGACTTGTGTGCGCTGCGTCCGCGCACACGCTTAAAAGCAGCATTTTTCTCCCAGTCAAATTCCTCAACAGCTTCCCAGCCCATAGCGCGTTCTCACCCCTCATCGCATCAATGCGTTGGCACACAGCCACCATCGCCACACTGTTCCGGCACAAACGTCCCAGTGGGAGAGCGTATGAGCTGAACCGATGCTTAGCTGCGCTGATGCTACTGCCAGTGGTGAATTCTTCATCCTCCTTGTGTAATAGCGCCTCGGCCCACCAACCTTTGAACACATTTGAATGAAACACCTTCTGGCAAAAGCTGTCAGAAGCAGTGACGAATTCAGATGTCAGACTCTTAAGTGTCTCATGGTGGCACAGGGGTCTCTTCAACAACCTGGTGCTCGCGTGCGCAATGTCGCGGCCCACGATGCGAATGTTAGGGAAATCCGCTTGCAGCTGGCCACTGCATGCATAGGCTCTGCGTCCCCGTAGGATATCGCCTGAAACAAGCTCTGCAGCGGCTGCATCTGAAACGACCATGGTGACTTTCTTGCGGATTTCAATTTCCAGACTAGCAGGATCTACATTCTCTTGGTCTGGCAAGGCGCAGTTCCGCAGAAGGCCTTGGTGAGGAGTGCAAAAGTCTGTGAGAATCACCTTTGTGACCTTTGAGAGATCATCGCCAGATCCCTCACACGGTCTCAACCCCAGCACTCCACTGACGACAGTGAAGTCGTCACCCAGGCATGCGCGATACCGGACCAGCAGCCGCCCCTTGCGCTCGTCGCGGAAGAGAGCTACACAACGGGCTTCAGCCATGTGTTTCCTGGCTCGCCTAAGATGCGCCTCGCTCAAAGCAAATCTCACGCGCGACTTCCTGTCTGAGGCTGAGCCGCCTTGGCGTGCGCTGCCACCTTGTCTCATGTGCTTCAGCGACTCTTGGAACTCTTGCTTTGGCGGTGCCATGGCAACTGCTTCCTGAGAGTCACAGTGCTTTACAGCTGCTTGGTGAGTCTTACTCTTCTCGTGTCTGCCCACCTTATGCAAAGTCAACTGGCATGGGTTCTCATTGAACTCGGCCCAAGGCCCTGTCAGACCGTGGCGAGCGCACTTCGCACAACCTGCCCCGACTTGCCTGGCCCCAGACATCGCCAAAAAGAGCCAGCGAGGTTTTCTTGTGCCCTGACAAAACTTATGCCAGCTACACAGCCGACAACGTTTCTTTTGGCAGGACTTGAGATGTTGCTGAACCAGGATTCGAGGCACCAATTTGGGCAACTGTGGTTTGCCGGCCATGGTTGTCGTAGAAAGCTTTCTATAGTTAGCCTATGGACCCCGCGGCTAACTTTTAAGATCGAGCCACGCCAACGAAACAAAGTTGCAAAATGAGAAGGCGCGACGACAGACACAAACACAAATTCGAGGGACACTATTTTACAACAGCTTGCGAATCAGTTCAAACCAGTTAATCAGATGAATGCAAAATTTGCCCCGTTTATAGGTCTACCCGCAGGTCCCGCCCGCAGGCGATGCGACCCGCAGGTCCCGCCTGCAGGCGATGCGACCCGCAGGTCCTCCCCACAGGCGATGTGACCCGCAGGTCCTGCTGCCACAGGCGATGTGACCCGCAGGTCCTGCCCACAGGCGATGTGACCCGCAGGTCCTGCCCACAGGCATTGACATTGAAGAAGACCGCCGCAGGGATGAGGAATCGGGGACCCATTCAAGACTTATAATGATGTAATCAAAGTCAAGCGTGGGTAAAAGAAAAGTGGCAACTAAGTTGCGTATGTAGAATCTGCCAGTGTGATGATGTCGGTGGGGAAGGTGGAAGACTCAGCACCTAATGCCCTTAATAATCAACTGGCTGCAGCCAGACGAGCAACGAAAACACAACCACTAAAATCACCAAAACACAACCATACTACTATAACCACCTTGAATTGAGTCACCAAGAAAACCATCTTGCAACCAGACAACCATTGAACAACACCAAGTCTTGATTCAGACTCGGATTCCGATGTGCTGGTGTCTGCGCCTTCAACACCCTCTCCACAAGTGGCACATGGCTCAGATGCTGTCGACGGTTGCTCGTGTGT